AATACGTGGCCGAAAGGCAAAATTAGTAGAACGCTACCGGGACCAGACGGTCACACCAGAGTGGTTGACGTCATTACTAGCACAGGTATCTTGAGGAGACCTACATCCAGAATAATAGTGTTGGTACCCGCGACGCCTCCCAAATAATGGTGCTTACGCACGGAGGGGAGATTGTTGGCGACGCGCCTATAAGAATACGAGTATTTCAGTTTATTAAGTCAACCGATGACGATTAGCTTCTAAAAAGCAAATTATCAAGTAACAATATTCCGATAAGAAAATGCTTAGATGAATCTTAAAGAAATATCGAATTAATGATATGAAGGTCTTGGGTTCGACTCCCAGGCCGGAATAGTTTACCGTTTTCTTAGTAATATCTCTTAATAAATTCATATAAGGAATTTTTAAGATATAAATTATGCTACCGGATTTGTTCCCCGGTTGAAATCATCTTTCCAATGATGTAAATTTAAAGGAATATTAAAATAAAGTTAGAGATCGGATTTATTCCCCGATCGAGATGATCACTTTGAGAGTAAATAGAATTAATGGAAATTAATAGCATAAGTGTTGTCTTATATGAGTTTGATATGTTTTGTATGAAAATAAATGCCTATTTGCTATGATTGATTTATGAGAACATTCACTTATATTGTTATCTGATAAGAAACATGATAACTGATAAGAATCTGATTAGAAATAGTTTCCTACAGTTTGAAAATTGTGTAGAAGCATTTATTCACCTAATACTGTCGATATTGGTGTATATTAGACTTTTCATTTTTTCTGATAGTCGAGAGCCGTGCGAAGTTAGTTGTTCAAATAGTGTGAGTTCACGGACGCACGCTATTTGCGCTAATCCGACTTGTTTTCAATTTATAAGTATTTTTAAGAAACTGTTACTACATGCAGATATCAAAGAATCAGAAAAAGCCAATTGTACATCGTTAGACGACACTAGTTTGTTGCACATATTACCAGAAGAAGCTAATTATGAAAATATTGCTAATAAAAAAATACAGATATAATTTGTAATAATGATGCCACAATTAGTAATAATATACATAACGATTATACATACTACTATGGCAAAGGAGTAAACAAAAATTATGTTGACAATGTTGTTGGATATATTGCTGGATTTGTAACGCGATCTATTTTGAAGAGAAGTAAATGTTTTGAATGTCCTCTGGTTCTTACTTCCGAAGACAATCATTCGACGCTAATACAGAAAAAAAATCGTGGAGGTTTAATAAAACCTGATATTGATGTTATCAAAATATGCAGAATCACAGAAAGACTATTTAGAATGTATTACAAAAGTAGAAAAGGCATTTATATACAGTTGATTAATTTAGTTCTAAATCACATACCAGACAGTTATCTAACAATCCAACATACATCAGATCCCATTAAACACCGATCTTTACTAATCAAAGAAATAATTGGTACGTACTTAAAAATAAGAATAAATCATTACGAAAAACAAAAATTACAATCGTCGAAAAAAAATCAGAAGAGTATATACAAAATTAATATTATTTAAAAACGAATAATTAAAAACAATGCTTGTTCAAGTTAAAATTTTATGAATTGCGTCAATTTTTTTTTCATTGGTTCTTACATTTAATTTTTTTAATTATAAAATAACATTAATATTAAGATAAGTTTATTGTTACCGATTTTTCAATACGTGCATTTTTTTGTATAATGAAAAATTTTAAGAAATAATATATATGCAAAAATTCCTTTATTATACTTTATTATCCTTTCGTCACTAATTTTTTTACAAAAATGATATTTAAGTTTCGATTTTGTAATTAAATGTTATAAAGTTAATTCTTAATTGTGATTTTATTAATGCTCTTAATGAAAAAAAAATGTACTTAGCATGCCGCGATCTCAGATCCCAAGCATGGAAAACAAAACCTTGTACCACTTAGCTACAGAGCATGTATTATATCACAATTATACTTAAATGTATTTAAGTTGTGCTCCCTTGGGCGAGTTTGAGTATGTTTTGGTTAGTCGAGGCTTATTTTTTTAACTTTTTGAGTTAATAACTATGAATTAAATGTATTGTGTTTATAAATTCTAAAGGATAATGCATAACTTTCATATTATTTTTAGTTGAGAAAACAAAAAATCTCGTCACCTTGCTTAGCGCATGCCCAATGAAACAGCCAATGACAGTGACTGTGCGAGAGAGACAGACTCTACCTAAACTCAGTCTCTCTCTCTACGCCGATCACGCTTTCTGCTCACGCAGTGCTCCCTCCATGTAATGTCTATGTGACAAGTAGATGCCTTTATGTCAAAATTGAATTTATAAATGACAAACACCAAATTATTTATGGAAACCCTATACGTCATTTCGATGTCATTTTTGTCAGTTAATTTTTCGTGCATGAGTAGCTTGCTACATATTTATTTATCTATGGTGCATGAGTGATCTACAATCAAGTGATCCCAAACTTTTATTAAAATAATTAGGATAAACTTTGTCTAAGTAATATTTTTAATATTACATTAGACTAAGGTTCTTTATTTAAATCATATTGATTTGCAGTGCTGCAAGCTACAAGAAATTCTCAATTAGTGTTGGCAAATTCAACATCCAGTGTAAACCAGATCGTGATTTTAACTTTGCCATACTTAGTGAGAGATTAGGGCTGCCACATTTTTTTGAATAAATAGATCAGTTTTATTATTTTTATATATTAGGTTATTCTGCGAATCTTTATGTAAAAGTAAAGTTGAAGCTGAAATATTCGGAATTAAAATCCTTAATTTCTTAGACGAACTATACCAAAACATATCGCACCTTTGTACTTTTAACTTGTTATGCGTCTTTGTCTCCTTTGGCATACCTGTTTTAATTTTTTTGCCAATTATGCCCGTGCCTTACTGAAAGTGTAATATGCACGGATCGCGTACACAATTATTATTCATATAACGCAATCAAACCCAAAATTCATATATTTGTTTTTATTATTTTAGAACATGGAAGATTTCAGTTTAACACATCGGTCCACATACAAAAATTATTCTACCGAAATGTTAGAAGTTGCCGTAGACCTAGTCAAAAGTAGAAAAATTTCGTCCCTGGAAGCCTCAAAACGATTCCACACGGCGAACTATCAAAAATAAAGTAAAAAAATAAAGATAATAAAAAGCCAGGGGGCCAACAAAGACCTACCTGAAGAAAAAGAGATAGTAAATGTTTTAATAGCAGCAGGTGATTTTGGCGCTCCCATCTCACGATTAAATTTAAGTTTTGTTGTATTTAATTACTTGAAAGGAAACAATAAGCAACACATTTTTAATAACAACTCGCTAGGTAAATGGTGGATAAGTAATTTTCTGGCTCGCCATAAGGATAAACTAACAACCCGGGCGGCACAAAATATCAAAAAATTTCGCGCTGCAAAAATTGTCAATGAATTTACTATTTATTTCGCAAATCTAAAAGATACCTTAAAAGACATACCTGCAAGTAATATATTAATTTACGATGAAACAAATCTCTCAGATGATCCCGGATCGTCAAAATACATTTTTAAGCGCGAAATAAAATATCCCGAAAGAGTTCTCAATCACACCAAGAGTACTATATCGATTATGTTTGCATCTGCAGCAGATGGAATACTCTTGCCAACTTATACAAGGAATGCAAAAGAGATATCTATACATATACATACTCATCCCATACATAGATATATATATATTGCCCCACTGAAAGTTTTACACAAAAAATTATTAGGTTTATCAGAAACAAATGTTAAAGTAAGTTATTCATTTTTTACAAAACATCGTCCATTTTGGGTGCTTCATCCAAAACCTTCAGGCAAAGAGACATGTTCGTGTGCTCGACATACCAATATTGAACTATTAATTAAATCTTTTTGTAATACTTCTGTTATAGGCGAAAAAACTCACATGAATTAGTCTCGCTTATATGTTGTGACCCCAGGAACCCAACATGCTTACTAAGGGAGTGCCTTTCTTGTAAAAATAAAAACATAAACTACAAAGAGTTTTCAAATGACTCTAATTTGACTTATTATAAGTGAAAAAAAGCAACGAAAGAGGTAATGACAAAAAAGAGGCTTATACAGAAAAAAACAACAGTAAAAGATCGAATAACTACAAATCCATTAACAGCAAACCAAAAATTAGAAATGTTGATGAAACCCTTTTTATTACATATCTATAACATTGAAACCCAATATAAAACACTCAAAAATTTAAAGGAAAATTTGGCTGTATCAGAAGCCATAATTCACGTAGATTTTTCCAAAAATTACTCCCTAAAATATGCCGAGGAAATCCAGTCATTTTATTTTGGAGGAAGCAGACAACAGGAAATACACTATATTGTGAAAAGTCAGCATGTTTTAAAAAAGGCACGTATGGTAATTCACAATGCTGTATTAGTCTCTACTTTAACGTATGGTAGTGAAAGTTGGGTGTGGCAGAAGAAACACGAGAGTACAATAAATGTGGTCGTTAAGGAGTATGTTAGGGCTGAATCTGAGTAACAGGGTGAGAAACTGTGTGATAAAAGAAGAGTGTGCTTCGGTGGTTTGGTCATGTAGAAAGAATGAATAAGGAGACTGACAAGCAAATATATGTTGCAGAAGTGAATGGAAAGTCGGAAAGGGACGCCTTAGGCGAAATTTTGTCTACCAAATTGCCCATATATTAACCCGGCGAGAATGTGGAGGGGTCAGTTTGACCCTAACAAATTTAAATCGGCTAGATTTTATATTTCGCGCGGGCGCACGTTTTCGAATGTCTCAGTAGCTGTCACGAATAGACCACAGCGCACCCCGCACGCCTCTATTTAGTCGGCCGCGGCCTGCGATGAGAGTTGGACGTGCGCCAAGCGAATAAGGGTGAATATGACCCCGCGACAATCGCGACGTAACATTTTCTTTACGATTTTTTATTTTTGTTTTATTTGAATATTGTTGTGTTTGTAGGTATTTTTGATTAAAATGAGTCGGCAAGAAAATCGAGATGAGAGGATACATCAAAAATTGATGGAATCAGACAGCGAAAATGAGTTCCTGTTAGAAAGCAGTGAAAATGAAGATCATTTGAGTGTACGCAGTTGCGGTAGTGATACTGAGCAGAACATAAGCAGTGAATATGACAGCGAAGATGACCTTCCGATATCGAGCTTGCGAAGCCAGAATCAAATTCTGCTTGAAGAAGAGAAATTAGATGCCCAGGTGAGGGATTCGTTTTATACTGGTAAAGATGGCTCCAAGTGGTTCAAAAATCCGTGAAGTTCGGACGCGCTCAGAAAATATTATCAGACAAAAAAGCAAGATTAGCACAGTTAGAACTTGAATGCTGGAGCTTGTTTTGTCCCGAAAATATGATTTCCATTATCCTGACTCACACAAATCTACAAATTCGAGAGAGAAATGCTAGTCGCGAAAACATTCCTCACTTCATGATAGAATTAGAAATGAGTGAATTGAATGCTTTCATCGGTTTATTGTATATTGCCGGATTTTATTGCTCTGGAAGGCAAAATACTGCAGATCTGTGGGTTTCCGATGGTACAGGAGTCGAAATATTTCGGTTGACAATGTCACGTCAACGATTTCGTTTTATTCAGAGCTGTCTCCGTTTTGATGATAAATCTACGCGTGAAGAAAGAAAACTATTGGACAACTTAGCTCCTATACGTGAAATATTCGAGCTGTTCGTTGAGAACTGTAAGAAATCATACGTCTTGGGCGAATATGTCACCATTGACGAAATGTTGCTGGCATTTAGAGGAAGGTGCAAATTTAGACAATACATATCATCCAAGCCTGCAAAATATGGCATAAAGGTCTTAGCAATGGTTGACGCGCAAAATTTTAACATTTTCAACCTCGAAATTTATGCAGGAAAGCAGCCAGAAGGACCATTTTCCGTAAGCAATAAACCTTTTGACGTGGTGAATCGTCTAGTGCTGCCCATTTCAAAAACTGGGCGGAATGTTACTTTTGACAATTGGTTTATCAGTTATGAACTTGTGTCACATCTACTCAACGAGTACAAGCTGACTTCCGTGGGCACAGTGCGGAAAAACAAGAGAGTACTCCCAAACAAGTTCTTGAAAACGAGCGATCGTGATGCAGATGTTTATTCATCGAAGTTCGGCTTTCAAAAAAATATAACTATCCTACATACCAAAGAAGAAAAAAGTTGTTCTGATTAAAACTACTTTTACGGATTTTGTCGCGTTTATTTTTATTTTTTACTTTTTATTTTTTAATTCCCGACATTTCGGGCGCTTTCCAGCACCCATGGTCACGGGGGACTGAGATGACTGACGTCCCGATGTCATTGTTAAACCCGGAGTACCTTCAGCTTTTTTAATTATTGTTTATGGTCCGATCTATGCAAAATGAACTGACTATGTCCTGAGGTCTTGCAGTGGTATGCTTGGGTTTAGTTTTAATTTTATTGATTATAGGATCCCAAGCAGGTGGTAGTACCCAGCCTCCTTCTCTATTGAAATTAGGATGTTTTTTTAATTTCAATAGCCCCGCGTTCTGTCTGTCTACAAATGATTAATGGGGTGTACCGCTCACTCACATATTTCTTTAGTCTAATCCTATAAAGAGAGACCACATTCACAACCACTCCTGCATCTTGTAGAGGAATATGACACTTGACGGATGGTAGGAACTGACTAATCTTCTTCGCTTGTAGAATGTTCTAATAGAAGCTCGCTTTAGCCAAGCAGCTTCCCGCCAGAAGATTAGCAGTTCCTACCATCCTCTTCATTCCTCTACAAGATGCAGAGTGTACAAGCTTGATTGTGAATGTGGTCTCTCTTATATAGGACAAACCAAAAGATCAATTAGGACCCGCGTAAAAGAACATATAGCTGATGTGAAGCATCAACGTTCCGGGAAGTCTGCAGTTTGTGATCATATCCTAGACGGCCCCAACCATTACATCAGATTTGATAGACCACAAATCCTCGCGAAAGAACACCGATTGCTACCAAGGATGATACGTGAGGCTATTGAAATTAAAAAACATCCTAATTTCAATAGAGAAGGAGGCTGGGTACTACCACCTGCTTGGGATCCTATAATCAATAAAATTAAAACTAAACCCAAGCATACCACTGCAAGACCTCAGGACATAGTCAGTTCATTTTGCATAGATCGGACCATAAACAATAATTAAAAAAGCTGAAGGTACTCCGGGTTTAACAATGACATCGGGACGTTAGTCATCTCAGTCCCCCGTGACCATGGGTGCTGGAAAGCGCCCGAAACGTCGGGAATTAAAAAAATAAAAAGTAAAAAATAAAAATAAACGCGACAAAATCCGTAAAAGTAGTTTTAATCATGTGCAATGTTCGCGTAAATATAAGAAATCATTAAAGTTGTTCTGCTCATGTCAAGTCTCCATCACGACGCTGATATTGACGAAACTACTGGAGAGAGAAAAAAAAACAGAAATAAACACATTCTATAACTCCACTAAAGGAGGAGTAGACGTTGCAGATGAGTTGTCCGCAACTTATTATATAAGCCGCAACTCCAAAAAATGGCCTCTGACTGTGTTCTATGCAATTTTGAATATGGCAGGGATCAATGCAAATATTATATTCAAATGTAATACAAATTCAACCCAAAAGCGCCGTAATTTTATCAAAACTTTGGGCCGTATGATGGTAGCCGAACATATGAGTGTTCGAAAAGAAATACCTCAGTTGTCCAGCCAGGTACATAAAAGAATGAAAGAATTTGGAGGAGAATCTGCTCAGGAGACGCCTGTAAGGGTCCCAGGTGTACGAAAAAGGTGCCAAGTGTGTCCTTATGCCAGACATCGAAAGACGAGCAATATCTGCGAAGATTGTCCTAAGTACATTTGTCCAGAACACACAATTTCTTTTTGCCAAGAATGTCCTGCAATAACTGACAATAATATTGAGTAACTATAAGTTTTTTATCTTATTTTATGTGAAACTGATTGATCTTATTGTTGATTACCAAATTATCTTAGTTTGTTTTTTTACTTCTATTTTATGTTACGTTGTTTTATGTACGTAAGTGTTGAAAAAACTTGTTTGATTTTTAAGTATTATAAAAGTGTGAATAATAACAAAGTTTTGTACCAATATTGATGTTTATTTTTATTTACATGGTAAAAGAAATGTCTATTTCCTTTCATTATTATGTAAAAGTCACAAAAAAAATTAAAGAATTTCGAAAACAATGCAATTAAAATACAGGGTCATAGATACCCTCCGCAACCTCCATGTAATTATTTTCACCACATTCTCGCCGGGTTAAAAATGGGACAAATCAAGAGTACCCTTAACCAACGAGCATGTATGCGTAGGTATATGAATGTGGAAGAGGCGAGAGAGGTATGTCAGGATCGTGCTAAATGCAAGCCTGTAGTCACTGCCTACCCCTCTGGATGACAGGCGTGTGTTTATATAGATAAAAAGTTTCATTGCACACCTCAGTCATTTACACTCATGATTTTTCTTTAGGAGCAGTTCAACCAATATCAATATATTAGTAAATGTGTTCGTCACGATGTGGCAGCTATTTGGGCACATTTAATTCCATTAATAAAACATTATTTGGAAAGCAATCCGTATCCGTATCACAACACTACATTTCTTGTCAGACGCACCCGTGTCACCGTACCGAAACAAATACATGTTTTATGTAATATCAGAGATTCGGACTGATTTTGAATATATTTCTAGAATTACTTGGAATTCTAGAAATATATTCAAAATCAGTCCGAATTTATTTAATAAATAATTAGAATTAATTATACAGAAGTGGTAAGGGTCCCCTGACCGTGTAGGGGCCGTTTTAAAAGGAATTACCGATAAACAAATAAATTACGGACGAGATATTGGTGATTTCGAAATATTTTATACATTAAGTACCCGGATGATCGAGCTTTGCTCGGTTTTTTTAAGTTACATTTATATACAAATTACATGAATAATAAGTTTTTGATCTTATTGACATTTTAGCAAAAACTGAACTGGTTATTTGAATAAAAAATCATTAGTGCAATTAGATTAATTAAAATTTTCGTATTTTTAAAAAATACTAAAAAAAGGGCTCTAAATAAAAGGTTTTCTCACAAAAGAAGGGAACTTGAAAAAAAAAGGAAAAAAGTCGGACTCAAGATGGGACGCGAACCACGGAACACCGATATCACGCCCGAACAACATCCCATCTGAGCTATTACGATCGTTAGTAACCTGTCAAAATTTACCTTCTTATATTGTAGCAGTTTTTTTATTGCCTGAAAACACGGACAAAGGGACCTTTTCTAAAAATAAATCATAGCTAGATCGATTTATGGCCCCCGAAACTCTCTGGACACTAAATTTTATGAAAATCGTTGCGAGCCGTTTCCGAGATTCCGATTATATATATATATATATATATATATATATATATATATATATATATATATATATATATAAGAATTACTCGTTTAAAGGTATAGGATAAAAGATAATGTAGAAAACATAATAATTTAAAGGTTACGGAGGATTTATAAGGTTACGGAGGATTCTATTAAAGAAAAAGAAAATTTAATTCCAAAAATCTTAAGCCTTTCAGAGGCACCCTTTCCGTCCACCAGGTACTTTGGGATTTGTTTTCTACTAAACTTACTCTAAAAAAGTAAGTTGTTTCTTTTGCGGTAATGATGAACATTGCGTACACGGCAAACACCTTGGATTTTATGAAATCTTACAAAATGTTAAAAATAATTATTATGAATATGAATCAGAAAATGTAATGATGTTACTGATTTTAACGCAACTACACGTAAAACAAGTGAGCGCTACAAGAAAATTGTCATATTAGAAGATAATACGTACAAAGATGAAAATGATCTAAACTTGCATTATTTGAACCAACCGCCTTCACCTAAATCATCCCATAATATCTATAAATAAATCTAATTGAAAAATATTCGCTAATTTAAAGACTGATTATTTTGTAATTAAATTATTTTGAAGAAGCTTTTTGTTTCAAAGATTGTTTAATTAAACTTCAAGTTAAAAAATTACTTAGTAATTAGAAGTTCATTCGTGTTATGATTATTTTGAAACATAAAATTATTTTATAGTCTGGTAGTACTTTGTTAAAATAATCGAAGTTTTTCGTGATTTATATTTTTAGTTAACTAACTGAAAATCTGAGATCAAAACTAATTATTTTGTAGAGACTGTTTGTTTTTTGTTTAATCAAATAAAAGATTTTTCTGTGATTCATATTTTTTCGTTTGTCTTGTAATCTTTTATTTGCATCATTAGCTTCAACATTATCATTGAGTTCAACATATCATTTACAGCTACACAATATACAATTACAACAATACAATGTACACTTCAATACAATATTTCTATTTTTCGATTTTTCTAAATTAAATCAGGAATTTAAATAATAATTTTTAAATACAAGAACCTTAGTTTCTTTTAAAGAAGATCGTAATTTAGCAGCAAATTTTTAATTTTTTAAGTAAACAAAAACTGCTATAATAAATCATAAAATGAGAATCTAGGGTAGATTTTTTTACCAGCAGTATTTTTTCTTACACTGTGGCATAAAGCGCATGTCGTCCCCCGCACCTTCCTTAGCCCAACAAGCCAAGCTCTCTGGTATATAGTGTATTATCTATGCAACAAGGCGCTGAGCAAGTGGCCGCGTGAAAATACAGTGAAATTGACTCTCAAAACATATTGTTAAAAGTTACGCACGACGTTTATCACGCATGCACATCATTTTCAAAAGGGCGGATTAAAGTGTAAGTAACGAATATATTTTATCATTACTTTTCACATATATTCCGTTTGTTCGCATGTGACATTGGAGGTTATAATTGTTACGTTGATACTTTATTTAACCTTTTGAACGCCACGCCAAAAACTCACTACCGTGTCCTGTACGCCAAAGCGAAAACTAAACAAAAATACCTACGAAAAAAACAGTGCTGCCAAGAGTTGATATATCGATAACACAAAATAACTTGTTTTTGTTAGTTTTTTATACAATAAATGACTCTTTATAATCGGGTATGTTTTATTTAATCTTGTGCTGTCTTCCACTCTTTTTATATATGTACTTTGTAGATAAATAAAAAAGGAAACAATAACAATAAAATAGTAGTAAACCACAACACTACTCTCCATCGTGATGACGTCACTGTCACGACTGGACGACAACGGCGTAGCTGACCTTTCTTTTTGAAACTTTCTTAGAGATGTAGCCGTGTCGCACGGTGTGTATCGATTTCAAAATCGATCTAACCAAAATATACAGACATCGATTCTAAATATTTTATGGCGAGGCGTAGGTCAAGTGAATCACAGAAGAAAAGTCTTACGCTCTTATGACAAGGGGGTTTCATATGATGCTGATGTTGCTAAATGATTTTGGATTGAGAAAGAAAATCGCACAACACAAAATGAAAAATTGCTCTTCATACCTTAAGTAAAGAAAACACATTTATTATTTGTAATTATATATTATTAAAATAAAAAAAGGTACATAATTATTCACTAATCAACAATTGTAAATAATTATTTACCCTAGGTCTAGTCTTAAAATATTAAAATCTTGGTCTTTAACTCAATCAGTACTTAATATAGAAAACAATTAAAAATAATTAATAAATTATAGGTAATATTAGCCTTAAAATAATAAAAATCTTATGGAATAATAAAACAAATGTTTAGCTGTCCAAAGCAAATTTTCTAACGTGGTAGAGCCATGCTGCAGTTATATTACGAGAGAGTAGTTGTAGCACGAATGGGTCGGCTCAACCGGGGAAGAACCACGCTCTCACGGAATACCGGCGTCAAATAGTAGCTTAATGCTGCTGTATTTCGTATGGCAAGTGTAGAGAACCGGAGACCCTCTTTACTGGAAACGAGGCATTCCATCTAAGTCCTCACGGGTGAGAGCGCATCTGCATTTTGATTCGTAATCGAGGATAGATGTAAATGTCTATGGGCCACAGCAACCACTTACCATCAGGTGGACTGCGTGCTCGTTTATTACCCTATGCTATAAAAAAAGAAATTAACCGTAAAAAACTATAAAGTGTATTCCTACCTCATTGAGGTAGAGTTAATCGAAAATGAAAAACTTTGGTTTCATGATAATTTTAATGTGCCGATTATGAAACGCCGCTACATTATGTATCAAATTATTAAAATAATAGAAAACAACTCATAAAATCGCTAAGCAGGTACGGATTGTATAATACATATTTTTCCTTTATTGAAACTGTCACTAAAACATATAAGTACTAAATTATGTGCATATATTTATTTCTACTTGGATATTTTAAATTTTTTATTTATTTAGGTAGGTAACTTTTGTACGGCTACACTGTAAGACGCGAAAGTGTTAGTAACAAAAAAAGAACGTCGCCGCCGAGAACAAAAGAGCAATTTAGTACTAAGTCGACACGCTATTTTAGATCTTAATGTTTTACCATTACATTGATTTTTAGTCTACTTACAATACTACTCGAAACGATTGTAATGCCGAAAGGTAGAAATTCGATATACTATTTTGGACCTTAATGCTTTTTCATTACGTTGATTTATGATTTATGGTCTACTCACTGTACTTACTTTTCGGAAGGATTATGGTGAAATATGGCTTAAGATGTTTATTTCGCTAAACAATATTACCATTCGCTTTTTGACAGAAAAAATATCTACTAGTTGCAGTATAAAAGTAAACGAACATGATGAGTTATTCTAAACTCGAAAACAAAAACATAAAAAATGTGCTCACACGAATCGCCCGGGAAACAGTTCCATTATGTATCGAACTTATTATATTTAAAATTAAACAAAATATTATAAAATAATAGATACATAAAATAGGCAATATGCATGTTAGTAAAATAAGTTTAATTTATTAGGAACTTAAGACACTTACCTCACTTAAATCTTCAGGTAATGATTCAGATTTCGAAAATTCATCATCGTCGACGCTTTCCAAAATCCGAATGAGTTCTGAGGCTGAGGAATCGTTCATGTTGCACTGCACTAATTTTCCCGCTAATCGCTTATGACGTCATCAGCGTGTCGTCTATACTAGACTACGGCGCCCAGTGAACTGATTTTCGATGTCTCGCTAAGGATGCGCCAGAGTTGAGATATTAGATTTATTATGCGAAGATAATTTGATATTTTTTTTTAATTCATGTAGCTAATTATAGTTTTATATTTCTAACCTTTTGTTTTATTTAAATATCAATAATAATAGAAAAAAAAAATAACACGTTTGAGCTCAATTTTGAATAGTTTTCAATAAATGTATGCCTAACGCATTACAACACTAGCGGTCTAACATAGACGACTTTGGCGTGCTGGACATAGTATTTGCTTAGATAAAAATCCATTTTTTTTAGTTCAATGTTTCTTACTACTTGTGGCTCTAGGAGACTTGTTTTATATACTCACATGTTACTGGGTTATTCTTTTTTGAGGGGTGTAGAATTAAAATACCAGTAATAATTTTCCAATGTCTATATTTCATATTTTTGTGGGCCGGGGTTTTTTGTCAACTATAGACGTCGTTGGCGCTCAGGGCACGCAGGTGCTGGTCACGTATAGACGACTTTGGCGCTCAAAAGGTTAAAGAGCGTATCTCGACTTGAAACAAAGTTTGTCATTTCCAGTAAGATCATCTCCAGTAAAATGTCAAAGACGAAAATAATTTGTTATTACCGGTAATGACTATTACCTTTATTTCTTATTACTTTCGTGTGGTTTTATCTGTAAGATACACCACAGTCACACTAATAAATAAGCATTTACTTATTAACACGCTTAGCGCCAAGGCCAATTTTTGAAAAGGGTGCTGGAATTGCGTTTTTTTTTAATGCAGAATCCAATTCTACTGGTATCACTCAGTACAAAAAGAAATTATTAATTTTTTCTCTTATTTTACCCCTTCTTTTTGAGGTGTATGATTTATGATACACTGGCCTGGAAACGTATAATTGAAAGATTCGCGTTCCATGGGCCAGGCGTATCATTTAGTATATACCTTGTTTTTCCTGTCTTCTTTTAGTTTTTCTTTGCAATAGTGTTATTTTTTCCTCTTTTCAGATTGCTGTGAGGAAATAAGTCGAGAAAAAGAAAAAAAATTGATAAAATACAGAAAGAAAATTTGTTTCACTGTATTTCTTCAATTTTTTTTCTGATTGTTTCAGTGTTGTAAGTTAAGTGCTTTTGAGACATTAGCAAAATGGATTATTCATCAGAAGATTCAAATTGAAATTGTAAATGATCCAAATTGTAATCCCAGTGATGATCCAAGTGACAATAGTAATATAGGAGACATCAGCAGCGATGAAGGAATCCCGCTGGCTGAAATGAGGTCGCGAATGCCACAGCATGCTGATTCACCAAACGTGCCGAGTACTTCTGGTTCAACAACCAACATTACTGAAGATGTGATAGTGAAGTAGTTTATAGACAACATGCAGTGGTTCCTACCAAAAGATCCCGGACCTCAAGGTGAACAATTTACTGGCATTTCTGGAATGAAAGATATATATCAAGGTACTTTAGCTAATGGCCAGCCATTGGATTACTATGAGTTGTTTGTTACGCAGGACATTATTGACCTTAAAGTGAAACAGACCAATTTATACGCCTGTCAATACCTCTTGAGGATGCCACATCCTCGCAATCAAGACTTCATTCTTGGAAGCCGGTAGACTTCGCCGAGATTTGGACATTCTTGGGACTCATACGATGGATGGGGTTAGTAAAGCTGCCAGCGATTCGTGATTACTGGCGGAAGCATAAGCTATACGGTCTACCATTCGCCAGAACTATTATGTCACGCAACAGGTATGAGATAATTTTAAAATTTGTGCATTTTTCTTATAACGAAGAAGAAACTAATGATCGGTTGACCAAAGTGCGAAATACATCGAAAAGTTCGTCAATAGTTATCAGAGTATATATACTCCTGGAGAAAAGATATGTGTAGATGAAAGTCTGATTCCCTGGCGTGGAAGATTGATATTCAGGCAATACATTCCCAACAAAAGACACCGGTATGGCGTAAAATTCTTCAAGTTATGCACAGAAAAAGGCTACACCTTTGATCTTTCTGTGTATTGTGGCAAGTCAAAAAAGAAAGATAAAGATGTATTTGAAATAGTGATAATAGATTTGACAAAAGGACTGCTGGATAATGTACGTACACTTTACACAGACAACTACTATACCAGTATTCGTCTGGCTTACAGACTAAAAAATAGAAAGACAGATTTGGAGCATTAAGAGCAAACAGAAAACATATATCGAAGGAAGTTATTGGAAAGACACTGAAGAAAGGAGAGATAGCATGCATGGAGACAGATGACAAAATGGAGAGACAAGCGTAACGTAACTAAGTACTAAACATTCAGCGAACTCAATGCAGACCGTCATAACTAAAACCCGAAGAAGAGTTCTGAAACCATCTTCCGTCATTGATTATAATACTGGCAAATCAAGTATTTACATAAGCGATCAAATGGCATCATACAGTTCTGCACTGAGAAGATGTGTCAAATAGTACAGAAATCTGGTATTTGAATTGATCTGGGGTACGAGCCTCTTGAACGCCTATTATTTGTACTCCAAATATAGCAGGCTCAACAAACTAAGTATCACTGAGTTTCGGGAGAGAGTCATTGAACAAATGATAGATAAATACAAGACGCGTATAATAAGCATCGAGCTAGGAGTAGAGAGAAGAAACTCAAGCTCGACAACATACAAACTAATAGACCTTATTTCCGGAAACCCGCCAAAATCAAAGAGAGGCCGTTGTCCCGTTGTAAGGGTTGTTATGAAATTTATGGGAAAAAGTAATACACAATATTCGATGGTAAAAGAAAATATGCATCCCAAGTAAAAACTATTATGTATAGAATAGTAAAGATTTAGACGTGAATTTTATAGATATTTCATTAGATGATTTGCGCGACATTGACTTACTAGAAGCTAGTATTTTTGATGAAATTGCTAGAAAAAATGGAGAATCAGAAATTGAAGATTATAATATCTATCTTTCAAAAAACGCAAACGTATTCCTAGTGAATCTGAGAGTGAAAGTGATGACGTGAAAGAATTTGTCAATGAAAATATTGATAGGTTATCGGCGAGTACGTCACAAAAATGGCTTCAACCTAGAAACATCAACCATCTGTTATAGCGTTTACAGAACTAACAGGTATAATGTATTTCATGTCTGTGCCTTCGGCTTGACCTTTCGGAGATTACTCTTTCCCCAAATCAATGCGAACAGTGTAGTTTCCACTCAATTAACTCCTAACCAGTGCGAATAAGCGAGAGGGCAGCTGTATCCGTCTCGCAGAATCGGGCAGCCGGCAAGACGTCAGCGACGCGGAACGCACCGCTGCCTTTTGTCAGTACGATTGAGATCGATGCAGACGTGTAAGTCTTACTGTTTAGTTTGAAAATTATGATATTTTTGAGAGAGTAAGTTAAAATTTTTATATTTAATATTTTATAGTGTGAGTAAGGGCTTTTTATTATTCATATATTTTTTTATGAATAATTTCAATATTTTTAATTGTGTTCATTTATGTTTACATTTCATTACTCTTTGCATGATAGAAATTTTTAAATATTTTATTTTATCGTAAAATAAATTCAATTTATTTAATTTGACATTCTCTGTCAGATTTGTATGACTTTATATTTTAGTTTTCTGTAATGTATATGTTTTGTGAAGGTAATATCTATAAAATGAGAATTTTTCCATTATAGCAATTCAGCTCAAAAACAGCAGCCTTACTGAACAATTTTAGCAGCGTTGCGGTTCAAATATAGCAGCCTTACGGCTTATTTAAAGCAGCCTTACGGCTCATTCAAAGCAGCCTTACGGCTCATTTAAAGCAGCTTTCGGCTCAAATATAGCAGCCTCACGGCTCATTTTTAATAGCCTTACGGGTCAAATATGACAGGCTTTATTGCTCAGATACAACAGCTTAGCAGCTCTGAGGCTTAAGTATTAAGCAACCTAATGGCATATTTATTCTATGTTTTAGCCTTTTATACTTAATAGTATGTGCAGTTACTTGCTTTAATGCAATATAATTTCTTGCCTTAAAAATAAATGGATAATTTTCAGATGGCGGTGGTGACGTGTACTACAATTGGGGAGTTGTACAATGATACGTCGGAACATGATGATAATGGAGTACTAGAAAGACTTATACAGTTGGTGAAGAACAATTTCCCAGAGGGTTGGCGTGAATGGAAGGTTGCAAGGCAATCCAAAGAAGATACAGTTGGTGCAAATCCGGATCCACAACTTCTGAATAAGTTAAGATATGCTCTTCCCACGATTGGAATAGCTACACTTTTATCTGAAAGACCGTATCATGATTATAAAGTAAAAATGCTGGATTGGGCGTTTGTAGAGCGCTAATCATGTCACCTTCGGCATTAGCTAACTTAATTAGAGGCTCTGCAATTCAAACAATGATTTTCAACGCACCAATACAGAATATTTTACATTCTATGTTTTGGTATCTAGACAAGAAACCTCGAATCAATTAAAAAAATTAGCTACATCGCTATCTAGTGATGAAGAAAATAATGATCCTAGAAAAAGATGAAGGGCTTATCAAGAATATTCTAATTTAGTTAACTCACATACTGAGATATGTGAATCGTCCCTACCAAAGAAGAAGTCAAGAGTTGATCTTCTAGAGGATAAAGTAATGTCAATTTTTGAGTCTCTATCGTCACAAATAAATCAACTAAGAGCTGTATCTATTGATCACGGCCAACAAGATCCAGAGCCAGAAGATCATGGAAATTACGAAGACTGCGATTCTAATGTTACCTCAAACTCAGATATAGCTACTGAATCTACTTGGCGTGCTCCGGGCATAGGGACAGTACAAAAATCGCCAATGAAAATATATTCCTACGATTTTATACCTGTTGTTGCAGAAGTTCAACCGTCTATTCCGAGGGCTGATCATCAGACAGAAGAGCAAAGATATTCATGTCAAAAAATGAACTTAAATTCTTGGAATAAGATAAAATATAAAGATGTACAGAAACACCTTCATGCCGCTCCAGTTTTTAGTGCTTTAAAAGTAAATCCTCAACTGACAAGTCTTGGAAAATTAACTTCTCATAGTCAAAAAACATTGGCCAGAACGGATACTGTCTTAGGCACTATCACTTATTGCATCTTGAAAGAACGGGAACAGATTGAAGCAGCATTAAATGAGGTCGAGAAAAAGAATCCAGAGGCGGTTTCTGTTTTGAAACAATCTCTTTTTGCTAAATCAGATTCTTTTAAACAGACATCGGATGATTTATTACATTATACATGTACACGTAGATCAGAAATGTTCGAAAATCGTCGAAGAATTTTTAAACCTCGATCGGAATTCTTAGCGACTAAATTGAAAGACCTTCACGCACCCATTTATTCGACGAGCAAAAATTATCTGAACTAATCAAAAGAGAAGGAGGTTCAAGAAGCCATTTCAGGAAAACCAGTAAAAATACAATAAAACAAAGTTTCGACATCGGTCCTCGACAAATACATCAAGCACTCAACGGAAATCAAACAAGACTCCAAACAAGTTTACCAAGACTCCGTCTAAACAGTCAAAGTCATCTGAAAAGCGAATCCAAAATTCTTCATTTAATTATTTTTAAAAGAGGAAAATTTAGTGGTCAGCGGGATTGACTCGCACTTTTTTGGAGTTCGACTGAAGGATTTTCGACATCAATGGATAAAACTAAATCCACCTCCTCATATCCTACGGACCATACCGTTTTCAAAGCACAACATAAGATTTTCAGTGAAGGAGTCTCCACCACTGCAACAGGAAACACAAAATATGATAAGATTGGGTGTTATAGAAAAAACAACAGTAACAACCGGGTTCTTATCTCAAATGTTTCTCGTAAGAAAATCCGACAACACCATACAACCTGTGTTCAACCTCAAACAATTAAACATGTTTTTGAAACCCAAAAAGTTCAGTTTAATAAATCAAAACGATGTCCCGAATTTTCTGCAGGAGCTAGATTACATATCAAAAATAGACCTTTCAAAGGCATATTGGCATGTACCGATCAAAAGGCAATATCGCCAATTCCTAGCTTTTGTTTACCAAAAACAGATTTATCAATGGACGTGTCTTTGCCTTTTGGACTGGCAAGCGCTCCTTTAGCTTTTGCCATGATTACGTATTGGATAGCAAGTTATTTACGAAAAAAAAGGCATTCAGGTAATAGTGTATTTGGACGATTTTCTAATAGTAAGTCAAGACCAAAATGCTCTCAGCTGTCAAATACAGTATGTGAAAATGGTACTACTCAACTTAGGTTGGGTAATATACTACCAAAAATCTATTCTTTTTCCCACAAAAAAGTTAGAATTTCTGGGAATCTTGTGGGACACCGCAATAAATCGAAAGTCTCTTCCTGAAAAGAAAGTGAACAGAATCCTTCAGGATCTCGACCGAGTCATAAATTCCAAATTCGGGAATTGGGAAATAGGTACTTCGCTGATAGGAAGATTGACATTTGCTGCCTTCTTAACACCATTAGGTCGCCTAAACACAAGGTATCTACAAAGAACAAGTCGACTTCTTCCCGAAGAAGCGCCTCGACTACGAATGGTGACATCTCTAAAAGCTTTAGAGGAGTGTATTTGGTGGAGAAGGAACGTCAGAGAATCAGATGCAATATTTATAAAACATCCTACAACTCTGATAACGACAGATGCTTCAGATACGCGATGGGGGGCTCAAATCGATGATACATGCATTTCCGGGCCTTGGAGAAAGTCCCAAAGGTGTTGGCATGTCAATATGAAGTTGTACACGATTTGGATAATTCTCAACAGGTTCAGACTCGAATTAAAAGATCAAACAGTTATGATCCAATCGGACAACAAGACTGTTGTGGCCTATATCAGAAAACTAGGAGGAACAAAATCTCTTATATTAATAGAGGCAACAAAGAAGTTGTTGATAATGGCGAGAGAATTCCGAATTCAAATCCATCCGTTCTACATACCCGGAAGATACAATTGCATTGCCGATCGCTTTTCCAGAAATCTACCAATGTCCGATTGGCATCTATTGTCCAGTATAACAGAAATAATTTTCGAGAAATGGGGAATTCCGGAAATAGTCCCAATTATGTGTCACTAAGCCCAAAAGACAGCAAAGATGTGTTCCACAATGCGTTCAGTCAGATCTGCACATACCACCTGACTTGGGCCTTTCCTCCTCCAACTCTAATTCCAAGAGTTCTGCAGCACCTGAACCATGCCACATGAACGTACCTATTAGTAGCACCGAGATGGGAAAAAGTGTATTGGCGTGGCGATCTCATCTATAGAACAAAGGATCAACCATTCATGATAAAGAATCTTAGAGATCACTTGATAGACTTGACGAACAACATCCTCCAGACATCAGAAACCTGTCTTTAGAGGTCTGGAAAATTGCGGATGGGATCCACTTTTAAGAGATTGGAACGAAGAAGACCTGTCGTTGATGCGATTAGCATGGCGCGACTCTAAAATGAAAACATAAAACAGCCTGGAATTCTTGGCTTACATGGTGTAAAATAAATTATATAAATCCAACAATTCCTACTCCACTACAAGTTGCATTGTATCTTAGTTACCTATGTGTGCATAAAAAGTTTGGGTATGGAACTATTTTAGTCCACAAGTCCGTGGTAGCTACCTTTTCAAATCCTGAATTGGGAGAAAAGATTAGTTCACATCCGATTGTGAAATCTATTTTAAAAGCTGTGAGCCTTAAATCAGCATTAAAACGTAAGGGCGAAGTTTGGAATGTGGAAACGTTGTTATCGTGGATGAAGAAAAATCTTCCTGATAGAATTTAAAGTATTTTTAAAGCCTCGAGGTATACTGCATTACTTTTATTGCTTGCATCCGGACGAAGGACTCATGTCTCACTCACCTTACCTTACTTTCTACAGGAAATGAGTTCATGGAGATAGATTCAAATTATGTGATTTTTTGGTCAAAATTCGGGTCGAAAACAGACAAGGTGAATAACATGCAATCAGGCTGGAAAATTCATTTATTTTGATACGCTAATAACATTTCCTTAGAGGAAATATTAGGTAAAGGGAATTTGGAAAGGTAGTTATAATTTCTTTAAATACTATTGCAAGACTGTTTCAAAGGTATAAAGCACACGCCAAAATATTGTTATTGATAATTATTTTTATTTATTTTTTTCTAGTTACAGTACGCTTCTATTATTCTTAACAAATAGTTTAAGAATATGCCGGCAGAATCCAAACACCTCTCCGAAAGGTCGAGCCGAAGACACAGACATGAAATAGCGGAGTTTTCTACCCCGAAGGGAGGAAAACGCTTATTTCAGGTCTTGCCAAGGCTTGACCTGAGCAAGGCCTTACCGGAATCCTCACGGAAAAGGTACTGACAAAAGGTCACGGTGCGTTCCGTGCCGCTGACGTCTTGCCGGCTGCCTGATTCTGCGAGACGGATACAGCTGCCCTCTCGCTTACTCGCACTGGTTAGGAGTTGAGTGGAAACTACACCGTTTGCATTCATTTGGGGAAAGCTTAATCTCCGAAAAGTCAAACCTTGACAAGAAATAAACGTTTACCTCCCTTCGGTATAGAAAACGCCGCTATTCTTTTATTTGTTTTGTTTGTTCAATTTCAGACTATAAGATATTTCTCTGCCAAATTTCATCTAGATCCGTTCAACCATTTTCAAGATGTTAGGTAACAAAGTTTTGCTTTTTACGATTTTATTATAGTAATAGATACCGGGTTAGATTCTTAGGTCGGTCATGTTTCTGTGTTGATATTTGTATATTATATATTGGTCGGTACTATGTTCAGTCGATCGGCAATGTTTCTATGTTGATATTTGTATATTAAACCGTAGTATGATAATGTGTATATTTGTTTCGTTTTCAAGTATGAGAGAACCATTAACTATGCATCTTCGAAATGCTGCTCCAGGAGAATATTTTGGCTTGATGTTTTCAGATGAAATTTTCGAAGAAATTTCTATTCAAACCAGTTTGTTTACAGAGCACCTTGTTGCTCTGCAAAAAAATTGGTTGGAACCTAGTACAAAGCCTTCGTCGCGCTTAAATAACTGGAAAGCAATGACAAAAGGTTCTTCGGATTAATCTTGTATATGGAACTTCCTAAACTACCTAAAATAAACCTTTATTGGAGTACCGACAGGCTTTTTGAGCAAACCTTTGCTGCTGCATCTGTTATGAGCCGTAACAGATTTGAATTACTATTCCAGAAACTGCACTTTACGAATAATAATACGGCTGTCTATTCTGTCAGACACATGTCTGACAGAATTTACAAAATATGACCTTTTTTAGATTAGCTTAAACAAAACTTTTAAAAATATATATGCACCTAAGATATCTGTATTGATGAAAGCCAAGTGCCTTTCAGAGGTCGTATCATTTTTAGACAATATAACAAAAGCAAGAGACACAAGTATGATATGAAGTTATTTAAACTCTGTACATTACCTGGATTTACATTCAAATTGGAACTGTACGCTGGCAAAAATAATGAACTATAGTCCGTTCGCGTTAAGAAAATAGTGAGTCGTCAGTGCCACTACAGGGTAAAGGTGTTTTCACAGTGGAGTAAAAATTCTTTTTTTTTTTCAAACATTTAAATAAGTTTAATGGAAACAAATTTTCTTAAAATTACTTAAATCACTAATCTAGATTCTCCAGTTACATTAATTATGAAAGAATTTTGTTCTGCAAGTTCCATGATGTCATCCAAATTCCACATGGTATTTTCTTCGCGTATCATGTGGTCGCAGCACTTCTTCCAACGATTAGCGTCTATTAATGCTATTGCGTCATCTAATATTTTTTTATGTCACTCAATTTGAACGTGGAGTTATTGGCACCAACATAATTTTTTATTTGGGCCCAAACCAATTCAATTGGATTAAGTTTGCAATGGTAAGGCGATAGGCGAAGAATTGTAATGCCATTACTTTTGGCAGTCTCATCTATTAAATATTTATTCTTTCGAATAGGTGAGGTACTCATTTTCAAAATTTAATGTTGAACGAGTAACACGCAAAATACACAACCGTTTTGTGACTTCAACTGGTCACTGGTTTCTAGTTTCTTGCATTTTAATTGGCTGGGGGGCGTGGCCAGGCCGGCGGACAACGATGACTCATTATTTTCTTAACGCGAACGGACTATAGTGAATACAACACCTACAAGAGTGGTAATGTCTCTTTGTGAGCACATACTGGGCTGTGGTCACACACTTCCAAGAGACAATTGGTATACAAACTTGGAGCTGGCCAGTGAACTACTCGATAAGAACACTCATTTGGTAGGTACTTTGAGGAAAAATAGAGGAGGTTGTCCGAAAGCAGTAATAGACACCAAATTAAAACCTGGCGAAGTAATAGCTATGGAGAATGAACGAGGGATATGCGTATTGAAGTGGAAGGACAAAAGAGACGTGCTGATGTTATCCACGAAACATTCTAAAAAACATTCTAAAATAACTAAAAAGGGTAAAGTAATTCGCAAACCAACAATGGTCTTAGCCTACAACGAAATAAAAAGCGCAGTTGATATGAGTGATCAAATGCCGCATATTTCTTTACGTAACACGGTTAAGTCGTATAAAAAATTAGGAGCAGAACTTAATATATTGAATACAGCTATTGTTAATGCAAGGGTTATGTACAACGAAAATAAAAAAAGTGAAAATATAGTACGGTTTAGAAGAGAGTGGAGTAATTAGTTGATGCAGGAAGGAGGAGACCATAGAACCGGAAAGAATAGATAGAACAAAAAGACTGAAACATCAATTATTGAAAAAAGATGGTAACTTAAGAATCACTAGAAGATTTTGTTCAGAATGTTACAAAAACTGTGTGGTAATGTACGGTTCGAAATCAGCCAAAAATAAAACAAAGAAAGTAACAAAATTTTGCAAAGAATGTCCAAATGAAACATATTTTTGTTTAATTTGTTTAAATAAGTTCCATCGCTTCGTTTAATTTGTATTTTAGTATACCTAGTTACTTGTTTTTTTCTCACATTTCACGCATTGATAAAAATAAATCCTTGATTTTTGTGACAGTTACGTTTTTTCTCTTACTTTCTTCATATTTGTCCCACATTTCTCACAATTTCATAAACACGCCAAAACCAGGCTGAAGTAACAATCTACAGCGCCACTCCGGTCAAATGCATTCATTAAATGTACGATAAACGTGGCCACCGGCGTAATAATTCTGCCCAAAAACAGGTCTGTCTTGAGGTCACCGTTGACCAACACGGCGGGAAGATACAAGACGGGGTCCGGTAACTGGTGACCGGGCTGGCAGTCAACGTGTTAAGTACCGGTGTTCCCGCTTTCATAAGCTCCGCTGTAATTCCATCCTCGCCTAGGACCTAGACGTTTTTAAGGTTCTGGAGAGCCATTCTAATCTCGCTCAGACTGACGTACGGGATATCATCGGAATAGTATCGGATACTTGTTTTTGGATCGTTACTCACACTTGCGTGTGGTGATGTATACAGCTGCCCATAGAACCTCTCAATCAAACTCAAAATCTCAGGTGTCCCGGAAACGATGCAGCCACATTCAGTCTTCTGCTTTGACAGTTGGCTCTTTCTGGTAGACAGATCTCTAGCAGACTTTGGAGCCCTGGTTAGGCATGAACGCTTCTTCAGTACGAGCAGTATTAAAATTGTCTAAGTCCCGCCGCATGCATTTGGAGATCTGTCTGTTCATGTGTCATTCATATGTCTGTATGTTGTCAAGTATCAATTGAGCATTTACAGATTATGTTAATTGTTAAAAAAGGCTGATTTCGTACGACTGATTTAATTTTAATAAAAAGTGCTTGCAATGAGAATGACTGATTAAGTGTTATAATTATAACATGTGTTTTAAGTATAATTTTAATATTTTGTTACCTACCTACTTATTTTTGTTACGAAACAACCCTACAATTGCTTTGTCAATGTTTGGATGTTGGAATAAATTGTGTCCTAAGATTGCCTTATTATCTACTAAAAATACTTCAAAATGTGTTATTCGAAATTGATTTATGTTCTTGAATTATTAAGCTACATTTAACATTGCCCCAGGATTAAATGCATATATTTAATTTGGAGTAAACGCATCAGGCAATGTTAGGAATATTAGACATAACTTTGGTTAATTCTTAAAATACCTCTAAAAACTTATTTATATTAAGCATATTGTCCAAAATAAATGTTATGATTTACACTTTAGTCTTATTTTTACTCTTGTTTTTATTTAATCTGCAAAAAAGTACAAATTCACGTTATTATTTTACGACAAAGCTAATTAATATTAACATTCGTGAAAAGTTATGGCATTTGATGGTAACTCTTTGACTGTTATAATGTGTTAAGTTTTGACATACTATAGATTGATTGTAGAAGGCATATTTTTTAATCATGAAAGCTTTTAGAAGTCTAAATATTGTTTAGAGATTGTACAAAATTAACAAGACCTGATTATGTTTCTATGACTGATTTTACCAATAAATTATTGAATTATTATACAAGACTACACGCTTATGTTGATTGAAACGATATTTAATTAAGCCCTGAATTCTGATTTATTAAAATCCTTAGATAACATTTGAATTAACTTGGATACTTGATCTATAAATATATGTTTCTTGCAACAAAACATTACCAGTCATGTTATGTCATTTTCAGAAATGAGAATATCATTTCCATTCTCCTATCGTCATTTCCATCACTATCATAAATTTAAAAATATAAATATTTCTTTAAAAACGTAACATGTGTGCCTTTTACATATAAGTAATTCATATTTTTATTCCTATAAATACTTGTAATTGGTCAAAAAATTTTTCATAGTATTTAAAAAAACATGAAAAAATATACAGTAGAATCAGATTAAGTTTATTAACCCTATTGCTTTTTATTAGTTCGTGGTTCTAGAATATGTGGGGAAATACCGGAATAATTGTTACTGTGCTGTACATATTCTGGTTGTCATTTAATGTTTTGTTTTGCTTTATGAACGATTTATCAGTGAAAAGTATTTTATGAATTTTTTTAGTTTTAATTGAAAATGAGTGTGACATGACGACCGGCCACCTATGCCGAAAAAAAAGGTCAAAAGTAAACACATAAAACAGAAGTACAGAAAGCAGTGGGAAAGTGATAAAACGTTTAAGAACTGGATTCCCTTCCTGTCTATGATGACTACTTCAAGGCAAAATGATGTGAGATGTCAAACTTTCTTGCGAAATTTTAACTTTAAAACGTCATGTTTCAAATGCCCAACACGTAAGAAAAGCATCGGCAAACTCTTCTACAAGAGACGTTAGCACTAATTTTCAGAATCGACAAACCGATCACAATAGGAAAGTAATGGAAACCGAAATAAAACTTAGTGCATTCGTCGCAGAGCACAACATATCATTTATACCTATGGATTATTTATCAGAGTTGCTAAAATTCAGTAACCAGCCGTTTGGGAGAAAATCTGCCGGGTATATTTATTTTTAAATGTATATGCCATTCTATGTATTTGTGTGCCAGTGAGACATGAAAATAATTACCGATATTTGAAATTTAAATTTTTCACTAACACAAAAATTCACAAGATTTTATATCCATCTCAAACTGCTGCTTGAACAGTGGAACAGCCTTGTTTTTTACGCAGAAATGGCTCGAAAAATCACAGATGAACACATAAGAGAAACGTACAAATAATTATTAATGTGTTACGTGCAAAGGGATTATGTTCAACAAAATGATATCAGCTCATACGTCACAGAAGATACGCGATATTTCCTCCCACAAATCTATTTGGGGGTAAAATTATGATAAGAACACAAAAACCAGATATATCAGCAAAAATATAAAGAAAAGAGTTTTACTGTCGCTGCAGAGATTTCTTCATTACAGGCTGCAAAGAAATTAAAAAAGGTACGACTTCTCTGACGATTTACTTCAACTTTTAAAATATTTATAACATGAAGAAGCAGCAAGTAATCAAACAAGAAACGTTTGTCCATCCATTTTACCGCTTGTGCAAAAGTTGCCACTAATCGTCAATAATGCCGAATATTTCTAAAACAAATGATGAATGGAGAATGCTACCAGTGGTAAATAAATTACCATTATATAAAATTAGCTCATAGAGAACCGGTGAGTTTTGGATTAAAATTCGTGATAGAACAAAACTAAAAATATTAGCATCTTTTGCTTTAAATGTTTTATGTCTGCCACTCTCGAACGCAGACTGCGAGCGTATCTTCAGTGAAGTAAACAATGGGAAAAAGAGACTATGAAATAAATTATTAACTTCAACTATTAACGGAACCCTTTTAGCCAGACAAGCAATCCGTAATCATGGTTGTAACTACACTTAGTATAGTACCTATGTAACTAATACACTTAGTATAGTACCTACGTAACTGAATTGTGAGTCAGTGACGATCGGGCAGGCACTGTTGTCACAGGCGTAATAAAAATGTAATTAAACGCTATCTCTTACAAGGACCTATTTCATTTCCAACACACTACACATATATCAGTTAAAGTGGTGACCCCGACGTGATCCAGTGCCGTGTTCTATTGTGCCTGTGTAGTGTATACCGTCGAAAATGACGTCGAAGAGAAACCGGAAGCGGAAATATCTCAAATAACGGTTTCGTCGAGAATCCCGGAATTTTGGGAGGATCAGCCGCGCACTTGGTTCATACAGGCCGAATCAGTACTATACAACCAGAAGCTCTCGGATGCTGCTAAATATCATCTGGTTATTGCCAAGCTGGGGAAGAATGTCGTACAGCAAGTTACGGACATCCTAGTGAATCCTCCAGCTGAGGGAAAGTACGAACTGCTGAAGTCAACGTTACTCACTATCTTCGAGGAGTCCGAAACGCGTCAAATCACCAAACTCATTGGCGAGATGGACCTCGGAGACCAGCGCCCATCGCAACTGCTGCGAAGAATGAAGGACCTGGCCAGGGATCGATTCAAAGATGAGACTCCGAGCGTTTTATGGCAGAACCACCTACCGGCCGAAGCTCGTGCCGTACTGGTGGTTACCGGTACCAAAGACCTCAAGACGCTAGCTTCTGTAGCAGACCAGGTCATGGAAACGATGCGACCTATCGGCGCGGCTGGGTTAGAATCGACTTCGTTAGACAACTCTTCCATCATTGCTGAAATCGCTAAGATATTCGACGAAGCGAATGGATAAAATGGCTATGGGCAGATCGCGGTCCCAATCACGCGGACGCTATCTCTTACAAGGACCTATTTCATTACCAACACACTACACATACATCAGTTAAATGGTAATTGTACAAATTTTCAAGTACCAAACGAAATTATTCGTAAAATGAAAGATAAAAAACAGTACGACCTAAATGCGACAGAATCAGAAGTTCAGAGGTACTGGAAAATATTCAAAACCTATATGGTGAAGAATAAAATTAGAACACCTATAGTACACACTATTTATTATGTAAACAACATATATTTCATGTATTTTTTTATTTAACCCTTTTAAATTACATTTTGTACAAAACGGCATTTTCTTAGTTTTCCCTAAAAATCCGGCAATTTTAGAATTAGAATACGGCAACTCTAACTTTGTCAGAAACAACGCTATAAAAAGTATAACTGAAATTTCCAGATTTCCAAATGTCTCCATACGAATGATAACGAATAGATGCCCAAAAGACGTGAACCTGGTTATGACAAACTTTT